CAGAAGCCCGCTGCTTTTTCCAGACCTCAGGCTTAACGATTCCTCTTTACCTCTGCCTCTTTTCCCTCACTTGGCTAATTTCCACCTGACTGTCAGTGCTTATTAAGCTCAAGCACCACCTCTTCCCAGAAGCCCTTCCTGCATTCCTCTCAAGTTAATTACCTTTTCTGCCCCTGTAGGTCCCAGGTGCCTCCTATTCCAGAAGGCAGTCTCCTCTTTCAATTTTTTTTTTTTTTTTGAAATGGAGTCTCACTCTGTTGCCCAGGCTGGAGTGCAGTGGCACAATCTCGGCTCACTGCAACCTCCGCCTCCCCAGTTCAAGCAATTCTCCTGCCTCAGCCTCCTGAGAAGCTGGGACTAAAGGCACATGCCACCACACTGGGCTAATTTTTATATTTTTAGTAGAGACTAATATCACCATGTTGGTTAGGCTTGTCTCGAACTCCTAAACTCATGATCCGCCAGCCTCAGAATCCCAAAGTGTTGAGATTACAGGCGTGAGCCACCACATCCAGCCCCTTCTGTATTTTAAGAGCACCTCTCTCCTCTTCCCCCACCATAAGAACTCTTTAAGGACTAGGACCAATCTGGTTCATCACTATGTCCTCAGCACCACCAGCACTCAGGAAACATTAAACTAGCCTGGCTTCGTCACTGCCATGTTGGGGATTTTGAGGATTAGGGAAGCTAGACCAGTGTCTCCCAGCTGTATGACCCATGGAAAGCCCCTTCTCTTCAAGTATCAGTTTTCTCATCTGTAAAATGGGTACAATTCCAACTCCTCTGAGAATTCAAAAAGGCTTCCCTTATGTACAGAATGTGTCAGCATGGGAGAAGTGGGAGAAGTGTTGAGTGAATGGCAGGTCCCTGGTCTTGGCCCTGGGCTTAGCAACTGCCTCAGTGAGCAACAAGTCTCCCTAAGCACTTCAGGGAAGAATGCTGATGTCCTCTGGTGAGCCCTGAACCCTGGATCCTTGTCCTCAGAGGCGAGAACAGGTGGTAGGCAGACTGGATCAAGCCCTCAACTTGCAGCCTCATCATTTAATTTGAGACATGTCTCTATAGTTCACTGGCTGTGTAACACAGGGCAAGTCTCCTTACCCCTCCGATCCTCAGCTTCCTGATGTGGAGTGGTAGCTAATGACACATACCAGCCTAAGATTCAAAATAACATGGATAAAGGCCAGGCATGGTGAATCACGCCTGTAATCCCAGCACTTTGGGAGGCCGAGGTGGGTGGATTACCTGAGATCAGGAGTTCAAGATGAAACTCCTGATCTCAATGTGGTAAACCAACATGGCGAAACTCCATCTTTACTAAAAATACAAAAATTAGCCGGGCAGGTGGCGGGCCCCTGTAGTCCCAGCTACTCGGGAGGCTGAGGCAGGGCAATGACTTGAACCCGGGAACCACAGGTTGCGGTGAGCTGAGATGGTGCCACCGCACTCCAGCATGGGTGACAGAGCGAGACTCTGTCTCAAAAATAAATAATAAAATAAACAATAACATGGATAAAGTAGGTTCTCAATTATTGTATCCCCAAACAACTTCTGACCTCCTGATTCTTCCTGTGATTTGCAGGGTAGGTTGGGGTGGGGGGTGGTCTAGGGACCACCATTGACTGGGCCATGACCATTCTAGGCTATGAAAAGGAACCTTCTATTCTACATGGGTGCCTGGGACTGGCTTGGGTACCACAGCCTGTTATATACCGAGATTCTGGACGGCTCTGGACACACAGGAGGATCCAAATGCTGGTGACCCCATTAGGTGTCGACATGTAAGTGACCAACCAGCCGTCGAGGGGGTGTCTGTGGAGTCCTCCAAATGAAGCCCAGTGAGTGCAGCTTGGGAGGATAGAGGCCCACCCTTAGTCCCTACCCAGGTCCTAATTTACGGGTTCATTCATTTTTTTGGGTTTTTTTTTGTTTTTTTGGTTTTTTTGAGACGGAGTTTCGCTCTTGTTACCCAGGCTGGAGTGCAATGGCGCGATCTCGGCTCACCGCAACCTCCGCCTCCTGGGTTCAAGCAATTCTCCTGCCTCAGCCTCCTGAGTAGCTGGGACTACAGGCATGCGCCACCATGCCCAGCTAATTTTTTGTATTTTTAGTAGAGACGGGGTTTCACCACATTGACCAGAATGGTCTCGATCTCTCGACCTCGTGATCCACCCGCCTCGGCCTCCCAAAGTGCTGGGATTACAGGCTTGAGCCACCGCGCCCGGCGGGTTCATTCATTTTTTTAACTCCTGTTTTTCCAGAATACTGCACAGGGCCTGGTCCATAACAGGTGCTCAATAAATATATGATGGAAGAATGAACTTTTTCCATACAGTCAACAATCATTTAACGATTCTGCCAGAAGGAAAGAAAGAAAAAGAAAAAAAAAAAAAGAAAAAACCAATCATTTAATGAACACCTACTGCATCGTAAGCCTTGTGTTAAGGGATGAGGGTACATAATGTGGCTGGTTTTTTGTTTTTTGTTTGTTTGTTCGAGGTTTTTTGTTTTTTCTTTGTTTGTTCGAGATAGAGTCTTGCCCTGTCACCCAGGCTGGAGTGCAGTGGCATGATCTCAGTTCACCACAACCTCCGCCTCCCGGATTCAAGCGATTGTCCTGCCTCAGCCTCCCAAGTAGCTGGGATTATAAGTGCCCTCCATTATGGCCGGCTAAGTTTTGTATTTTTAGTAGAGACGGGGTTTCACCATGTTGGCCAGGCAGATCTTGAACTTCTGATCTCAGGTGATCAACCCACCTCGGCCTCACGCAGTGCTGGAATTACAGGCGTGAGCTACCGCGCCAGCCTGCAGTGGCTGCTTCTAACAGCCCTTTCAAACTCACCCAGGCCTCCTCTAAATCTGGCTCCCAGCTCTTCCCACTGCAAACCGAGCTCCCACTGGCTGCCAGGTTCCAGGCACCAGGACTTTCTCCAGAATTGAGGCTCACGCACCCCATGCATCATGAAGCCTGGGAAGGCTGCAGCCCCACAGCCACAACTCTCCAAATCCTCGCAGTCCTCCAAGCCCCCCCCCCCCCCCACCTTCAGCTGCCTTCTCTCTCAAACCCTCAGGCACTTGCCATCTCCTCCCTCCCAATGCCCTACATCTACCTGGGTTTTACCCAAAGAGGCCAGAAGGTGGCGCCGAGGCTCCCCTTTCCCCAGGGCTGGACTGGAGGCCAAGACCCCACCAGGACCCTCCCTCCTTTCTCCCCTGCAGGGACGGGAGTAGATTCTGTGTCCTCTAACTGAACCCTCTCGTTCCTGCTGGCTCCTGCAATGGAGCCCTGAAGAGGCTCCAGTTGCTCCTGCGGGCCTCCTGGTTGTCTTCCTGTCTGATGGATGGGGGGTGGAGGGTCCCTAGGGGCCAAGCTGCAGCTGGTGGGGCGGGGCCGGGTGGGGTGGGGCAGGCAGCAGCTGCCGGGAGAGAGAAAGAGAGAGAAGATAATAAGGAGAGAGAAAGAGAAAGAGAGCAAAGAGAAAAGAGAGGTGCTCTGGCTCCGGGGCTCCTCTCCCAAACGGGTCGAGGTCCCAGCTGAGGCTCTCCCAGGACAAGGTATGTAGCAGAGGAAATGACGGGGCTGGGCAGTGTCACCCTGCTGAGTGAGGCAGGCCTGGGGGGCACTGAGGGAATGGGCAGGAAAATTCTGCTGCTCAATAAGAGCCCCTAAGCCCGCTCCCACCCTTCCTTCCAAGGTGGCCAAGGAGGAGTGCAGGGGCCAGCGAAGGAGACCTGGGTGGGCATTAGGAGAGGAGGGTTGTCTATCGCTGCTCCTGACCCGCTGTGCCAATTTGCACCAAGCTCTTCCCATCGCTAGACCCCACTTCCTTAATATAAAACCAGGGGGTTGGAGAGGAAGACCCTGAAGACTTTCTGTGGCAGACTTTGCAAGGCATCCCCTTTCCAAAGAAAATTAGCCCTTCCAGGGCTTCTGGAAAACCTTTAAGACCTAAAGGAATGCCCTGCGAATGGAATTTCAGCTAGTTGTGGGAGAGGGCTCAGGGGCTCTTGTTGAGGCAGAGAAGGCCCTGAGCCCTGGTTCCTGCCTCTCTCCTCCACCTTGTTTCTCTGGCTGGGATGAGGGAGGAGGCTGGAACCACTCCCCCTCTCAGAGATGCTCTTAGATTGCTGCAGACAGTTTTCTGGCTGGGGAGGAGTTGGCCCGGCCAATTCTAGAATCTCAGGAATCTCCGATGGGTTAAGTCACTCTGGGTGGGGAGACAGTTCAGCTAAGCACAGCTCTGGGAGTCAGATTAGCCTGTGCTCAAATCCTGGCTCTGCTGTGGGTCCCTGGACAAGTCAAGTAGCCCGTCCAGGCTGCAGGCTCCTCCTGTGCAAAGTATGCACAGAGCGGGAGCTTACAGGGTTGCCCTGCGCATTAAGCCACGTAATGCAAAGAAAGCAGCACAGTCTCTGGCCCCTGGTAGACGTTCGTTACTGCCCTCACTATGGGGGTGAAAATGAAGGAAAAGGATTGGCGTGAGGTAGCAGAGCTGGACCCTCCAGTGAGTCCGAGCAGCCTCTTCCCAGCCCCACTGGAAACATGGAGCCCCAGTGTCCACTTAGCGCTCTCTGCTCACCCAGCCTGACTGCGACCTCTCCCCTCTGTCCCCGTCTGCCCCAGCCGCAAGGCCTCGGGTCTAGCCTGGAGTGAGGGATCCCTAGGCCCAGGAAGAGGGGGCGCGCTGCGGGGTCCGAGCACAAACGGGCATCTCCGCGGCACTTGCCCTCCCTCGCCCCTGGGAAAGGGCAGAAAGCGGCGGCCGAGTCAGGACTGTGCGCGGGCAGCAGAGGCTGCGAGGGTGACCGCGGCGGGGGCACGGAGAACACCGCTGGGCTCCCGCTCGGGGAGAGGGTGGAAGCCGCGAGTCCGAGAAGCCCCTTCCTCCCCGGCCGCGGACCCAATAGGTAGCGGGGGCGGGAGTGGGGGCGCCCTCCGGCCCTCACCCCGCCCCCGCGCCTCTCCCCGCAGCGGGGGCGCCCCGCCCCCCGGGCGCCCGACGTGGACGCGGCCGCCGCCACCGCCGCCGCGCGGGAGTCGCTGTCCGCGGAGCCGACATGCAGGCGGCGCGGGGCGGCGCGGGGCGGCCGGGCCGCGGGCCGGAGCGCGAGCGCGAGCTGCCGCCGGGCTCCGGAGCCGCGTCCCCCTGCGCCGCCCCGGGCCTGCCGGCCGGAGGAACCACCATGCACCCCGGGCCGCCGAGCGCCTGGCCGCCCCGCGCCCGCGCCGCGCTCCGCCTGTGGCTGGGCTGCGTCTGCTTCGCGCTGGTGCAGGCGGGTAAGGGGGCCCGGGGCGGGGGGCCGGCGCCGGGGCAGGCTCCTCTCGAGCCCAGCAACCTGGGAGTCCCCTGGTCCTTTCCCTGCCCCCTGGGGACCCCCTGTCTCGGCCCAAACACTGCTCCCCTAACCCAACCCCCAGCCTTTTCCCTACCTCCTTGACCCCCAGACCTGTCCTTCAGTTTCCAAACCTCCCCTGTCCCCTCAGGCCCGGGATTTCTAGGGTCTTATGGTCCCCAGTCCCGTAATCCCATTCCCCTAACCTCAGATCTTGGCCTCAGCTTCCCTAGCTCCCTTCTTTGGCCCAGGGAGCAGCTGAGGACACCAGTATCCCCACCTTGGGCCTCTCTCCGTGTCCCTAAGACCTCTCAAAGCCCTGCAGGCCAACTCTGCGGGAGCGGATGGGGTCCCGCTGTGCAGGAGCAGGTGTGAAGGTGATGGGGACTGGCATCTGAGAGCACAGCGCAGGGCGTGGGATGGGCCCCGACACCCCTGAGCTGGTGCAGCGTCTGGCCTGCCCCATGGGGCTGGCCCGTTCTTGCCCGGCCTCTCCTGCCGCTCTGTCTCTGCCCCTCCTGGCTGCCGCTGCCCAGCTCATCTCTCCCTCTAGCCATCTCTCCCTCCGTGGTTCGGGGTGCGCTCTCTCGTATCTCTTTCTCAGATGCCCCACTTCTCTGTCCTCTGGTTCTGTGTCTGCCGCCACCTGTCTGTGTCCTGTCTCTCTCCACCTTCCTCTCCATGTCTGGCTCCGTCTCCCTCAGGTCCTAGGCCCAGCCCCCTGGGCCTCAGGTTCCCTCTCTGTGGGGCAGGGGGCACTGCTCAGGCCCAGCTTTGCCCCGTGCTGCACCTGCCCCTTGGAAGATACAGAGGCTTGTGTGACTGCACTGCCCCTCTCCTGGACCGTGTTCCTCACTGACCCTCACTAGCCCCATCACTCACCCCCACTTCCCTCCTGTCTTTTCTGGAGTAATTCTTCATTCATCCTCTTCCCCCACCTTGTTCTCTTTTCTCCACTCCCCATGGAGGGGCCCTGCTCTGAGTAACCCCATCTTCCCCGGCCACCTCCCCACCTGCCTCTTGGGGCTGGAAGAGTGTGGAGAAGAGGCTCACACAGACTCCTCCAGGCTTCACTCTGCTTGGGTCACCACAATTCTGGGGGTACTTCTGTTGCTTCTCACTCCCAGGGCTCACCCCTGCCTGACACTTCTCGATTCACTCAAGGTCACTCATTGGATAGGGCATTACTGTCAAAAGAGCACTGTACTGGGAGTCGTTTTGACTGCTTTTCATCAGCTAGCCTTCAGTTTCTGTCCACCTATGTCCCCCTCCATAACTGTCTTCACAACTCTAACCACTCATCCTGATCTAAGGATCAGGCCCTGGCCTAGGCCCATCACTTTGAGCCTTGGACTCCTGGTGGGGCCTGGCCTGTGGCCAGCAGGGGCTTCCCTCCTAGTCATGAGGAGCCTGGCACCTCTTGGGCCTGGCTCTTCAACTCACTGAAGACTGAGAGCCATGTCACTGGACCCCACTGGAGGCCTCAGTTTCTTCCTTCCCCTCCTGCATGGCCTTCCCCAGGTTTCCCCTTCTTATGAGACCATAGGTCTGGGCCTCACAACAGGGGATGCTCAGGCTTGGGTGCCCCCCATCCCCCAGACAGTCCCTCAGCCCCAGTGAACGTCACCGTCAGGCACCTCAAGGCCAACTCTGCAGTGGTGAGCTGGGATGTTTTGGAGGATGAGGTTGTCATCGGATTTGCCATCTCCCAGCAGGTAACGATCCACTATCCCCAGGAGGGAAGGACACATCAAGATAGTAGTGGGATGGGGGTAGGCGTGTGGCGGTGGTGGTGATGGAGGGATAGAAAGGAAATAGGAACTTGGGGCAAGGGAGATGAGCAGCAGTTTACACATATGTCTGAAAACTGGGGCCCCGGAAGAGAATCAGTCAGTGAGGGAAGGTTTTGGAACTTTCAAATGGAACATAGAAATTAAGAGCATGGTTTTGATCTCAGAGACATCTGCGTTTAGGACCTGGCTCCAATGCTTATTAGACATGTGGCCTTGAGCAACTTCCCTAACCGCTCTGAATCTGTTCCCTTCCCTGTAAAATGGAGGTAATGATAGGGGAGGTGATGGAATGATGAAGATTGTGTTTGTAGAGGCTTTGTCACCACTGGGAGGTGGGCAGGAGTGGGGCTGGTAACTGAATGTTGACAGCAGTGGCTGGCACTTGTCTGCAGAAGAAGGATGTGCGGATGCTGCGCTTCATCCAGGAGGTGAACACCACCACCCGCTCATGTGCCCTCTGGGACCTGGAGGAGGATACGGAGTATATTGTGCACGTGCAGGCCATCTCCATTCAGGGCCAGAGCCCGGCCAGCGAGCCTGTGCTCTTCAAGACCCCGCGCGAGGCTGAGAAGATGGCCTCCAAGAACAAAGGCAGGCCCAGGGCACTGTTAGGAGGAACAGAGTGGGGTGAGGGGTGGTCAGGACCAGACCAGTGGGTGGATTGAGGAAAGCTCCATCTCCTCCCTCGTACCCCCCGCTGGCAAGTAAAGCAGTACCTGAGAGAGAGAGGGTTCACTTTAGTCCCCCACAAGACCCTGGGCATATGTTTTAAACTCCCTTTAGACTTGGTCCTATCACTGCCACCTCAAGTAGCCATTAGTGCATTCTAGAATGTATGTTAGATGTGTGGGCATCTGTAGAAATCAGCATTGTTCTCTTGGGCTTAGCCCTAGCGGAGTGGCTGAGGGAGGAAAGGAGCGCTGGACCTAGTGTTTCTCTCCCCACAGATGAGGTCACCATGAAAGAGATGGGGAGGAACCAACAGCTGCGGACAGGCGAGGTGCTGATCATCGTTGTGGTCTTGTTCATGTGGGCAGGTGAGTCTGGCCTCCAAGCCCTGTTTGGACATCTCTAAGGTGAAAAGTCTCCAAGTCCTGCCAACAACAGTTCTGGGAACCAGATCTGACCCCTTCTCGAACTCATTGTTCACCAGAAAAACAGCATATTTTTAGCTGCCTTATAGGATTCGATGATTACTTGCCTTTGCCCTCCTCAGAAGAGGTTCAACTTCTTGGAGCTGGACACACAGGCTTTTTACCTCTGGCCATGGCCACAGCCTTTTCTTTCCTCTTCTGGGGTGCTGTGCCTCCAGGGGTCCAGGCTTGGGAAGCTCAGGGGAAGTTACTCCCTGGACTTGGGACATCCTCCTAATCTAATCACCCTTCTAGACCCAGCTTGGAGACAGCCGCCATGAAAAGCCCCTCAATCCATCCATTAGAACAGCCCTCCTGCCTCCACGTGCCCACTGCCTCCTGTTTACTCCTCTCTTTAGCCCTATGTAAGTTAGCTGGCCTCTTGTCTCTTTCCTTTCCCCAGGGTCTGTGAGGTCTCTGAGAATGAAGACCAAGTTGTTGTCGTTGCTGTTGTTGCTGTTTTGAGACAGGGTCTCACTCTGTCACTCAGGCTGTAATGCAGTGGTGCAATCACAGCTCCCTGCAGCCTTGACGTCCTGGGCTCTAGTGATCCTCGTGCCTTAGCCTCCTCAGTAGCTGGGACTACAGACATGTGCCACCATGCCTGGCTTTTTTTTTTTTTTTTTTTTGTAGAGATGGGTTCTTGCTCTTAAACTCACTGAAGACTGACAGCCATGTCACTGGACCCCACTTAAGGCCTCAGTTTCTTCTTTCCCCTCCTGCATGGCCTTCCCCAGGTTTCCCCTTCTTACTTATGAGACAGTGGGTCTGGGCCTCACAACAGGGGATGCTCAGGCTTGAGTGCCTCCCCGACCCCCAGGCTGGTAACGGCCAAGTTTCATTCATCTTTGTACTCAGTTCAACCAGCATGTACTGAACAATCACAGTCCAAACGGTAGTACTACAATCATGACTAAGAACCCTGTGCTTGCAAAGAACTGTCTGGGAAAAGCCAGGCCCAAGCTATTTTGTTTGTTTGTTTACTTTTTCTTTTTTTTTAATTTTTTTTTTTCCTTGGGCTGAACTTAACTATAATCCAATGTAATGAGTGTTATGGTAGTACCACGTAGGAGAGCAGAGGAGAGGGAATAACTGAGTTAGAAATCAGGAAAAACAGAGAGAGAGGAGGTAACATGGGAATTGAGCTTTGAAGGATAAATAGGAGTTTACCAGGCAGCCAAAAGAGCAAGAGTGTTCAGGGCTTGGTGTGTTCAAGAAATAAAGTAAGCTCAGTCTGGTTCAGGGCAGCTGCAATCCAAGAGAGAAGGTAAAACGTCGGGGAGTAAAGGATGGTGAGGCTGTAGATGGGAGTCTTTTGAGAGATCTGAATCCCATGCTGAAGCTTTGTGAGCATGGTGGTTGAGAAAGGCAGGCTACATTGTAAAGCATTTGGAAAAAAATGTTTCTTAGGCATACAGAAAAACAGGCAATTGGAAAAATGAGGGAAAAACAAAGGATTGTACAAAAGAGGAGGTTTACTTATGATTCGTTATTAGATTTGGCACAGACAGTATTTATATAATCGTAACAATATAAACATAGCAAATTAACCCAAAATTGTGATGAAATTTTATTAGGTTAATAGGGAGGGAGGGAGGGGGAGTTGTTATGCTTTATCTACCATAGTTGGAAGTCAACAGATTTCTAAAACAGATCAAGAAATAACATTCCAAATATAGAGGTAAAATTGGGAAAACACCTAGAAGGACTGGAGTTGGCTGCCTTAATACTGTCTGTCTTTCAAAAAACATTATGTTCATGTATTATTCGTTTGATAAAACTAAACATTTCACAGACTGCAGGCCCTGGAGTTCATGTCCTAGTTCCACCACTGTGACCTTGAGTTAAGTTAGTTAAACTCTCTCTGCATCAGTGTCCTCACTTGTACCCTGGGAATGATAATAATAGGTACCTTCATAGAGTTGTGAGGATTAAGTGAGATAGAATATGTCAGTGCAAGCACAGGGCCTGGCACAAGCTCAACAAATGCTATTATTGTTTCTATTTTCTCCTCAAGAAAAACGGGAGCTGTCAGAGGTTTTTTTTTGAGATGGAGCCTAGCTCTGTTGCCCAGGCTGGAGTGCATTGGTGCGATCTCAGCTCACTGCAACCTCCGCCTCATGGGTTCAAGCGATTCTCCTGCCTCAGCCTCCCAAGTAGCTGGGACTACAGGGGTATACCACCACACCCAGCTAAATTTTGTATTTTTAGTAGAGATGGGGTTTCACCATGTGGCCAGGATGGTCTCAATTTCCTGACCTCGTGATCTGCCCACCTCGGCCTCTCAAAGTGCTGGGATCACAGGTGTGAGCCACCGCGCCTGGCTGCTGTCAGAGGTTTAAAGGAAAGGAGGGGAGGAGATATGATCAGACACATGTTATAGGAAGATCAGCCTAGAATCAGTGAAAGGGATGGCTGGTGAGGGCACAGGTGAAAGCAGGAGCCAGAGGGCGGAGGGAGGCTGCTGCAGTAGTGCAGATGAGGCACAATCTGGAGAGACCATTGCCAAGCGCTCGTGGGAATGAAGCAGGGGAGGTGAGAACCCGGGCCCTGGCCTCTGACTGCTCACTTGTCCCCCTCAGGTGTCATTGCCCTCTTCTGCCGCCAGTATGACATTATCAAGGACAATGAACCCAATAACAACAAGGAAAAAACCAAGAGTGCATCAGAAACAAGCACACCAGAGCACCAGGGCGGGGGGCTTCTCCGGAGCAAGGTGAGGGCAAGACCTGGGCCTGGGTGGGCCACCCTGTGCCTCGTGCCCTGGTAATCCCTGGACTGCAGAAGGGGTCAGCTCGGGGCCTGGCATAGCTACAGCTGGGCAGAGCCAGACTTGGCTGCTGCCTGTGTGACACAGGGACACTGCAAGTTGATTTTGGATCTTCTCCTTTTGCAGGGTGCCAGGGGCCAGTGGTGGTTTGGAAAAAAAAAAAAAAGCAGTGAGTGGGGAGGGCAGAATTCTTGGTTGGTGCGGGACAACAGGAGTGGGGTGTTCTGGCTCATTCCTGCTCCTGCTATGCCTTGTGACCTTGGGCAGGTGCTTTACCTTTGTACCTTCATTTCCTCTTCTGTAAAACAGATATGAAAACCTTTTCAGTGCTTGCTGTGAGCAGCTAAGAAGACAGACAGTAGAGAATGTGAGAGGATCTCATGGTTCTGACGATGACTATCCAACAAACATCTGGCCCTCTCTACATCTCCTCTTCCCTCCATCTCCTTGTACCCTCTGGCTTACTGTCCTCTCTCTGGCGCACTTTCCTGAAGCCTCTTATTAACCCCCATCTCCAGAAGCATCTCAACAATGTCAGTGGCTGAGGCTGCACTCAGAGGGATGACTGCTGGGGGGTAGACTGGGTGCCAGGGGCCATGGGCCCAGGACTCAGTCTTAGCCATTCAGTTGAGTGAGGCTGAAGGCTGGGTTTGAAAAGGGAGAAAGACAAGACATCCAGGCAGGGCTTTTTTCTTTCCACAAGGGACAAAAGCCTGGCTTATTTAGGCTGCAGCCCTGCTGCTCCTCCCTTCTGTCCTCTGTTTCCAGCCTTGCAAGAAGTCTATTCAATTAGTTCTGGCCACTTCTCTCATTTTTTTCCTCCCATTTCCAAACAAGCCCTCAGTGAACATCATTGAAGCGTGACTGCCTGTCTGCAGGGAGGATTCCATTTATTTTCTCAGCTGGTCCCCAGGCCCATGGGCACAGGGAGAAGGATGACTGCAGCAGAGGGGAGGAGGCACAGCTAGCTGTACAGTTCTCTCTTCTCCTTGCCCTGGTCAGATGAAGGAGGCTGAACTACAAACCCAAATTCTGCACAAAAAATAAAAATAAGCCACAAAACTAAAAGGCCTGGCCCCATTCTGGAAAAGGCAAAGCTGCATGAGACACAGCCTTCTGCTTCCTCGCCTCTCCTGGACTGGCTTCCTCTTTGAGAAAATGCACAAAGCCCTGGGAGATGACAAGCACGAGGGCTGACTCAAGCTGTGTCTTTCAGACCAAGGAACTTCAGAGAAGCTGTGGGGCTGCCTGCCATGCAGGATCATGGCTGCCATCAAGCCTTTTCTGGAACCAGCCATCAAGGACATGCTTGTGGTGTGATGCACACCTTTGCAAGTGTGTAAGATGTTACCTGGTTTGTCTCTTTTGGAAAACAAAAATCAGAGGGCTGCACTCTGGAGAGCAGAGAGACTCCCCCAAGGACTGAGCTGGTTGCCTGCATCCTCTATCTTCTTTGACCCTTATGACTATAAGATCATCAGTTTGGGGTCTTAGGAAGACCTGGAAGGTACTGGTCCAATTTATTTAGGAAGTATCTCTTGAAGTTTCAGAAATGCTAGCTTGGACAACTGAAAAGTCACATTACATCTGGCATTCTGGGGGTTACTGAAACACCCCTTTTGTAGTGGAAGCTGCTAGAAGGCAGGCCTGGGCCATTCACCATGGACAGGCAGAGCAGCCCTGGCTATCACCATTGGTCTCTGGGGTCTTCGTATCTTGCCATCTCATCCAGAGTTCTATGAAAGTTACCCAGGGTCCTCATGTCCTTCCTTAGAGCCCAAGTCGTGTGACGTGACAGGTCTCTCTCTCCACTGCCCCTTTCTGGTTTAAAAAAAAATGGTGCTTGATGAGGGAAGGTAGGCTCTTCCCTAAGACTGACGAGGTATGGCTGCTAGATGCCTGCATGGGCAGAGGTGGATCTCTGCATCTTCCATTGATGGCCAAGGATGGGTGTGGGAGAACCACACCTAGCACAAGCCTGGTACTCAGTAAATATTTGTTGAAATGAATGATAAGAGCATTGGTCCCCAAGCCAGAGAGCCAGAAGCCATCACCCAATGACCGCCCCTTCCGTCTGGTCTACAAGAGCTCTCAAGGCTGGGTCTGCCACTACTCTGCTTTGCCCAAGTGTGGCAGCACTGGGGAGGAGAGACCGGATAAAGGGCAGATGTCAGCAATACTAAGGGCTTCCTCATGGGAGGGCATAAGGCTCCACTCATTGTCTTGTGACTTCCATCCCTGCTGAATGGGGCTGCAAGGCCAAGGCTCCTTAGGGGAGAGGTCCTTACCTCTGATCCACTTAGAGCAATAACCACTTTTTAAATGTAAAATAAAAAGACAAATGAAAAGGCACATCCTTGTCTTCTGGTAAATGCCCAAATGTTGCCCTCTTTTTCTGGCAATTGGCAGCAAGTCAGGATGTGTGGAGGAGGAAGTCAGTTCTCTCTCTCCATTTTGGCCTGCAGCTTCTTAGGGACATGCCTGCCAGCCAAGCTGGAGTTGGAAGGGAAATCTCAAACAGATGGGGGTGCACGTGTAGGAGAAGAAAATAGCTGCTCCATCATCCTATTACTGAGGCTCCCCCAAGCCAAGCTTGGGCTGCCTCACTGGCTAGGTATGCAGGCTCAGTTTTTTAAAACAAAGGGTTTTCCCCTCTGGATGGGGCTGGGTGCTTTTCCTGGCCAAAGGAATGGAATTCTTGTTTCTCCCCAGGGTAAGAAAAGAAGTGAAGAGATACCGCAAAAGCTGCTTTCTGCAGCTCAGTATTCATAGTGTGCTGTTCTAGGCTGTTAAAGGAACACCATTATGATCCCAAAAGCAGGCTGAAAGAGTAATGATGACATTAGCCAATGAGCAAAAACCAGTAGCCAGGCGCGGTGGCTGAAGCCTGTAATCCCAGCACTTTGGGAGGCTGAGGTGGGTGGATCACGAGGTCAGGAGATCGAGACCAACCTGGTCAAATGGTGAAACTCCGTCTCTACTAAAAATACAAAAAATTAGCTGGGCATGGTGGCGCGTGCCTATAACCCCAGCTACTCAGGAGGCTGAGGCAGGAGAATTGCCTGAACCCAGGAGGCGGAGGTTGCGGTGAGCCGAGATCGCGCCATTGCACTCCAGCCTGGGTTACAAGAGTGAAACTCCGTCTCAAAAACAAAACAAAACAAAACAAAACAAAACAAAACAAAAAAAACAGTAAATGGGGCACCTCAAACATTGCTATACAGAGCCAGGAAGAGCCTGGAGAGAAAATATCAGGTGAGCAGGGCTTTAAGTTGGCTGTTCTAGAAGGTTCTGAAAGCTGAGGGAAAGAAGGTCTTAGTGGCTGCACAGCAAAGTAGGAAACTGATTAGCACACTGAACTCTAAGCCAAACCTCAGAGGTACTTCCTAAGCCCTCTGTGCCCATCTAGTGCCAAATGATGGAGAAGCACTAGGTATACTATAACTGTCATTGGGGCTCAGGGAGCTCTCCTAATGGAGAGCTTCCTGTCTTCAACTTAATCTGTGCCTGTAGTACATCATAAAGGGTATGAGAGAAAAGGAGCAAACACTCTCGGCTTAGATAAAACTCCATTCCCTTTAATTACCTCCCTAAACCCCCAATTGTATAACAATTGAGCCTTCCCTGAATCCACTGTTGTTGCAAAGCCGAACCCCACAGCTAGACATGGGATGGGATCCCTTCACCACCACAAAGATCCACAGACATTTCTCACAACTGTGGAAAGGCACAGGCAGGTCTTTGAGACCAAGAGACCTTACTTGCAGACTACAGCAGGCCTGTGGGAGAAATACTGGTCTCAGAGGCAGGAGACCCTGCCTTGTAATCACCTAACAACTCAAGCAAGTTACTTCTCTGAGGTTAGGTCTTACTGTCCTTATCTGCCAAAAACAGAGAATTTAGAAGATTCCCAGATTCCACCTATTTCCTACAATAGGAGCCAAGGTGCATCCTCCTAGGAGCATGAGGGAAAACCAAGGGTCTGCGGGGAGGAGGACAGACTGGTGAGTGTTTCTATGAGGCAGAAGTCCTTTCCTCTTCCTACTCTTGTCCCCTAGTTTTTCAGAATGGGCCTTCTCAAGATCAATTTTTAGGGCTTCTTTTTAAACCCTTTACAAAAATGTGTAAAATCTCACCAATCCATTAACATGATGCTTTAGATTTATTTGACTCTCTTTAAACCTATTTGATGGTTACTGGAATTTGCTTTTATGAAGTAGCATCCAAGAACATATTGCTTCTATAAATGGGACACCCTGCTCACCTCCCTCCCTTGCCCAGCTCCAGCTCCATCAAGCTCTATCAGTACGAAGTATTTCCAACCTTCAAATGTGACTTGAAGTTAAGCTGAAGATCTTTGTATACAAATAGTTCCTGGCCAGGTGTGGTGACTTACACCTGTAATCCCAGCACTTTGGGCATATCACTTGAGGCCAGGAGTTCAAGACCAGCCTGGCCAACATGGTGAAACCCTGTCTCTACTAAAAATAAAAAATTAGCTGGGCATGTTGGTGCACACTTGTAATCCCAGCTACTCAGGAGTCTGAGACATGAGAATTGCTCAGACCCAGGAGGCAATGAGCTGAGATCGTGCCACTGCACTTCAGCCTGGGCAACAGAGCAAGACTCTGTCTTAAAACAAATAGTTCCTTAGTGATACATTTCAGGACTATCACTTAAACTACTTTAAAGGTTATCCAAAATATTGTATTCCACCCCCTTCTCAATGGTGCTGGGGAGGGCCAAATTTTCTGTCTATGGCATGTCCCAGTTGTCATGGGGGAGGACAGGTGTAGAGGAAGGACAAGGCAGGAGCTTGTTCACTTAGGAATTCCACCAATGACCAGCTGATACTTCCTATGACAAGTGGAATTTTCTTTTCCTGACAGGTGCTCTGGCATACAAAGCAAGCATACCCTAGAATCAGCTTAGGAATAATTGTTTTCTCTTAGAAAAGCAGAACAATACTAAAAGAAGCAGGAAACTCCACTTTCTAGCTTTAGGTGATTGGCTTTTTTCTTCCTATAAAAGCTCAAAATAGGCTAATTAGAGAATGACCCCATTCCTCTTGGAAAAAGTCCATTTCTCCTTTTCTTCTTTACTTTTCCATAATGTAAAATGAACAAAAGATCCTATCTACACCTGACAGGAACAAAACAGATATGCATAGGTTAAGGAGAGTACCTCAGATTGAGAGAATGTCAAGTTGCTGAGTATTTAGCAAACTTATATATTGAGCCTTTTGCATGGACTCAATATTGTATTTTATCTAGAATATATAGAAAAAATTTACTGAACTGCAGACCAGAGAGCATGGCTAAACATGTTGCTATTTGTTTTCTCAGCATCAACTCAGATTTTTAAAGCACTGGCTAATATAGGTGGCAAGTTATTATTGCCTTCCTTGCTTCTGGGTTCACAAAAGGGATCTAAGGAACACTGTCTCCCACATCTACCCACACTTATCCAACCTTCACCCAGTTTCTAGGAGCAGCAGTTTCTGGAGAAATTGGGTTATGAACAACCATTAATTCTGTACCACTGATTCTGGTTTCTTAAATCCCCTTTAAAGAGAGAATGCTCTGGGACAGCATGGCTTCTTTCTTGATCAGTGCTAGCTCTGAAGAAGCAGAGACAGGGAGGTCAACCACACAGCCATGGGAAGGAACAAAAGGCAATGCTTGCCTGATTAGGGCTGAGCCATCTTCCCCCTCTGCAAAAACTGAGGCATAATGGTATTTCAGGCTCTCCCTATGTCGGGCTCCTGACATGCACCATATGTAGCTGCAAATCCCAATCAATTTCAGCATTTCTTAACTGCTAGAACACCTTTCTCAACACTGTAATTTACCTTCAAAAGAATAGGGAGCAAGCACCCTCGCCTTCCCAGTACCACATTCTACTAACTGCCGCCCCCTCCCCACCCCACTAACCTACCTACGCAAAGGAAGAAGGCAAATAACCCTCCATCGAAGCCTACGACAGACCGCCACAGTACATAAGTCACTGACAAGAACTTTTATTTCTTTTTAATGACATTAAACACAACTGCTACAAGGGAAAAAACAGATAAAGAGGAGGCACCAAACTTCAGTTTCATAATTGAAACTGACAACAAGTAAATCAGGGCCTGCATTACAAACTACAGGTTATTTCAGGCTCCTTACTTAGAAGTAAACAATGTAAACAGCATATTTTTACTCTGCTTTGTCAAGACCCATGTGTGGGAATGTCATCGATGAAGAAAGCAGTTAAATGCACGTAATACTTACTTAAAAAAAATACAGCAAGAATTCCATCTGAAATACCAGACTTAAGAGGCCAACACCAAATTTAAGAGATATGCAGCTTTGAAGGGATTAAAACTCCAGATTCTACCCACTACCATCTTTAAGGCGAACATGCCAGATAATGAGTTTTCTTTGGCTTGGTTTTTTCTTCTTAAAGAATACCATGTTAACCACTAGATAACAGCTCTCTCCTCCCCCAGTCCAACAGATTTAATTAAGCTGCTAAAGCTTTGGAAAAACAGAATTATTTGAGATAAGAGGAAATGTGATTGTCACATTTTCTAGTTAACCTGTCACTCATTTGATTTGGCAAAAGCAGTGCTCCTATTACACATTCAGTCTTAAAACCCCATGTACCAGGAGGGCAAGAACATGAGTCTTAGATTTTTGCCCATGCAAAATGCTGTCCCTTCACTCCTTGGGTTTTCTGAAGGAAACTAACAGCTGCAATGCTAGCTGTTCCAACTACATTTAACTATGCTATGGTCCCAAAGGTAGATGTTTGCCATGTCCCATGTCTCACTCCACCAAGCTAATTCAGGGCAACCTGAAGAAGTGACCGATGTAGTAAATGCCAAGTAGGCTAACTAAAATAATAGATTTTTGACTACTGTCTTTGAAGAGAACTTCTTTGCATTTAACCAAATTTAAACCAAATGTTCAAGGAAAAGCAAATCCTCGACTAGATAAAAACAGTAAACACTTAGGGACATTCACCCAAATTTATTGTTGGCTTAAATGACCAAGCTTTTCCCAAGTCAGTTTCTAAAGTGGGGTATGTTTTAAATGTGTTACTCACATACAAAGATGGGATTGATGAAATCACAAAACCAGAGGCTATAGCATCTATGAACAACCTTCACAGAGAACAACAGCACAAATGCCAGACTGCAAAAACTTCCCAAAATGATGTCTAGAGCTATCTATAAAGAGAAAATAACCAATTCCTAAGACATCCATTAAGACAGATGCGGCTGAGTGTGGTGGCTCACACCTGTAATCCTAGCACTTTGGGAGGCCGAGGCAGGTGGATCACCTGAGGTCAGGAGTTTGAGACCAGCC